AAAAAAAACCAAATGTAAAAATTCAAATGATCAAATGACAATCCTTTTTGCTGTAAATTTAAATAGCAACCTTGATTTATTGCCGTCATGGGCTAAATTAAGTAACTATGGCAACCTTGATTCTATGTTAGTATTGGTTTATAATTTTTGTCTCTTTCTAACAAAGTATTTCTTTCCAATTTACTCACCTACAAGTTAAAATAAAGTAAAATTCAATCTAAAACCTATCAAAAGCAGGAGAAAAGCTTGTGAAGTTTGTAACATGGTAGACATGTTTGTGTGTTGGTTACCTGGTCGGAGACCTGCGGCTCGGGCAGCACCAGCTTGCTGCGTTTGCGCGCGGGCTGGTCTCCCTGCAGCATGGCTTGCGGCACGTCGTTCTCTTTGCGCTGCTTCAGCTTCTGCTTGTCCTTACGACGCTCTTTCTGTATCACAACCGAAAAACACTCATCTATACTATTATAAAGAGGAAAGATTTGTATTTTTGTATTGAAATAACTTAAAAACTACTGCGCTGATTTAAAAAATGCTTTTGCCATTTCAAAGCTATGTTATCAGTGAGTTTGAGCTACATTAACATAGGCTTAATTTAGCAATATTTTTATAATTACACATGTACAAATAAATGTTAAAAGAAACTATAAGTTGCAATATATAATAATTCTGTTTTAAAGTTTGATTTGTAAATAATCACAATGGTAACTTTCAAAATAATTCACATAAAATGGGTGTTTCCCAATGGGTCTATTAGCTAACCAATGGATTGAACCAATAAGATGTTTTTCCCATTGGGCTAATCAAATCCATTCAATTGATTAACTCAATGGGTAAATATTCCTAATAGGTCGATCGGTAGGGTAATCAGCCCAAATGAAACCTTCCAATAAAGATAATAGACAAATGTAGTTGCGTTTGTCAACAAGTAAAAAGTGTAATTACTAATTTTATATTACCTCTTCTTTCTCTGAATGCAATTCTCCATCTAAATGCTGCTGCCGTAGCCGAGAAAAGTCCGGTGCCATGGGATCAATCTCCTCAGTTGATGTATCATAGAATCCCGCAGCCGGCTTCTTCTCAAATGGTATCTCTGAATTGTAGTTTACGCCGCGTTTCTTCTTACGTCTAATTTACAGAAAACATTAGAAAAAGATATTCCATGGTATTTACATAAAAATATATCATCTTGAAACTCCCTTAGATAAATCGATCTGCTATATAACTATACAGTACAGTTTATAAATAGAATAATAACTAGAATTTCTTAGCTTTATAATAACACAAATGTTAAAAACACAGCATACCTCATAGGCACTGAGATGCCGGCAGCACTCAGTTCTCTCCTCTTCTGCAATGCAGCAAGTCTTCTTGCTTCTTCCAACTGCTTTTCTCTCGCCTTTCTCTTAGCTTTCTTACCTTGAGTGTTAGCCAAACGTGCACGAGCCTCCGACAGCATTTCAAGCTCTAAAACATTATTAATATGAAATCTTATAGTTTTAAAACTGATTAAAATACAGTCTTAATTTTGTAATGCCGCAAAATACAAGCTTTTCTAGTATTACTTTTCGTATATAATTCTGGTAAAATTCAATTTTTTAAGAATCAATCACATTGAAATATTTAATAACATATGGTTTATTTTTTGTTATACATGTTTTTTTTTATTTATTTATTACCGTCTTCATCCATATCCTTAGGATCAGGTCTGGCCGGTTTTGTTTCAGGGTTAGGATCAATTTCTCCAGGCTTCAACTTTCGTGGGTCATCCCCCATGTCCTCCCCCTCCTCTTTCTTTTGAGCTTGGTCTCTGTAGGTAAATTAAAAATATGTCAACTTAAAATTGGGATATTTCAGTTTACATATATACTTTTAAGTGTGAATAGGTGAATCTTATAGTTATTGAGAATTAATTGAGCTTCATTTTATGGTAAACTCTTCTTTTACTTTCGCTAGCCGTGGAGTTGAGGAAATTGTAGCCCCATACTCCTACTGACTCATCTTTGAAATACATTTTATTAATGAAAAGTATTGCTAATATGAAAAAGATTGATAGCATATCAACAGGTTACATTTACTAGTACACTTACAGCAAGTATTCGTATCTCTCTAAACATTGTGCAGCGGTTCGTCCAATGATAGGTGCTATAGTTCTCCACTGTGTTGGCATCAACTTTGCCAAGTGCAGAAGCTTCTCGTCTTCCTCTCTTGACCATTCTGTCTTTTTTATACTTGGATCCAACCATTCGTACCACCGAGCTTTGCATTGTTTAGCCGATTTTCTATGCAACAAGGAAGCTATTCGAGACCATTGATTTTTTCCATATTTCATAACAGCCGCCTTGAGAATTTCATCCTAGAGAAAAAGTATAACAATTAGAGCACCTCAGAAACTAGATTTTTATACGAACTACAAAATTTGATGGAAAAATAATATAAATTTTGATGACAAACCTCTGTGTTACGCCAAACACCGCCTTTTATCATAATTCGCGGCATGGTGGATTGTTTTTATTACGTCTTTGTTTAACTCAAATTCAAAGTTATATAAAGATACACTTAATATAAACGAAGATTTATTACAAAGTTAAATTTAATCAATAACTTTATAACTTTAACCAACAAATTGACGTAAAATTGAGTTTGAGGGATGGATAATCGACTTACTAAATCGATTTTAATTTTTAAGTACCTAAATAATATTCGATTTAAAAAGTCGATTAATTTCTCAAAAATTACCTTCGTTTAAATAAGTACTTAACTTAAAAGTTTAAAAGAAATGTTGCTTTGATTTTTAGTTTTGAATGGGTTATTTTATTATTCAGGTTGCTTTATTTTATTTTTTAATGTGATAAACTTTAATATCAATCTCTTAGACTTTATATTGGAATATAAAAAGCATGTAGATTCTTAAATAATAAAAAATCGACTTTTCGTAGAAATCGGTTGTTTTAAACATATTTTAATCTATTTTTGACAAATTCATGAAATTTAATGAAAAGCATCGATTTTTACTCATTCGATTCATTTTATTAATCGACATCCCTAGTTGCTGGAATTGCGTCCGAAGACAAAGATTAAAAACTTCAGAAACATCACGGAGGTTCCAAGATCTGTAAAATTCAAAATAGTTTTGAGGCATTATTTTGTTAATAAATAAATTATAAAATCATTGGATAATGGATGTAAATGTGTAATGTAATCGCAATTAAAATAAATGTATAAAAACCTAAATTATAGGAATTACAGCAGTAGAGTTGGATGAAGAAGTGTCAACGAGTGTAAGTAAATGTCAAATCCGAATATGCCAAATGCCAATAAACGAAACGGAGATTTGCTAAGTACGCGTTCGATAAATAAGGCACTCCCTTTTCCTGATTTAGCAGTGTCGTGTATTTTATAAGCGAGTTTAGTAAATGAGTTTAAATAAGGGGCTGTAAAAAAGTCCAATAACATGTTTCCCTAGTGAGATTTACTGTTTAAACCGTTTTTTAACAGGTATGAGTCAAACAGAACAGCGGAAACAATTTTCATATTACTTTATGATTTCTTATAGTTTATTCTAAATATTAACAAAACACTGTACAATTAAACATTTAATAAAGAAGTAATCGTACATAGTTCACATTGATATATGATTTTCTTCGGCGGAAATAGTTATCGTTTGGTTCTACTCATACTGAATATCCGCTTGACTAATAGCGAAAATCGCTTATCAAGGACCATTGTTAACATAAATAAGAATATGTTTATTAATTAACGTTACCCAGGTACTATAGTTAAATTGTTTGTTACAGAATGTCTACTATGTCCAGATCTCTGAACATCAGCCAGCAAAAGCTGGCTGAAAAACTCATTATATTGAATGATCGCGGTGTCGGAATGTTAACAAGAATATACAATATTAAAAAGGCTTGCGGAGATGCTAAATCAAAACCAGCTTTTCTTTCTGATAAGACTTTAGAGTCTTCCATTAAACACATTGTAAGAAGATTCCCAAACATAGATGTGAAAGGATTACAAGCTATATCCAACATAAGAAATGAAATCATTAAATCTCTTTCATTGTACTACTACACATTTGTTGATCTGCTTGATTTCAAAGACAATGTTTGTGAACTTTTGAATATAATGGATGCTTGCCATGTCACACTAGATTTGACCCTAAACTTTGAACTAACAAAGAATTACCTAGACTTGGTAACAACTTACATATCATTGATGGTTTTACTGTCAAGAGTTGAAGACAGGAAAGCAGTTTTGGGCCTTTTTAATGCTGCACATGAAATGGTACATAATCAAATTGACCAAAGCTTTCCACGTCTAGGCCAATTGATTGTAGACTATGATGCACCATTGAAGAAACTCTCAGAGGAATTTATGCCACATCAAAAAGTATTGTTGAATGCTTTGAATTCTCTATGGCATGTGTATCCAGCTAGAAATTTAGCAGCTGAACATTGGAGATCTGAGCAGAAATTGAGCCTAGTAAGCAATCCAACATTACTCCTAAAGCCATCTGAAACAAATACAATGTCATGTGAATATCTTTCATTAGAATCTCTAGAGAGGTGGGTCATATTTGGTTTTGCTATCTGTCATCATATGCTACAACAGGAGCATGCAAACAAAATGTGGGTGAGTGCTTTGGAGTCTGGTTGGGTTTTGGCACTCTTTAGAGATGAGGTCATTTATATCCACTCCTACATCCAGAACTTTTTTGATGGCATAAAAGGATATGGTAAAAGAATTTCAGAGGTAAAAGATTGTTATCACCATGCTGTACAAAGAGCTGGGTACAAACATAGAGAAAGGCGAAAGTTCTTGAGAACTGCCCTAAAAGAATTGGGTCTTATCTTGACTGACCAGCCTGGTCTTCTAGGCCCAAAAGCTTTGCTTATTTTTATTGGCCTCTGTTATGCAAGAGATGAAGTATTTTGGCTATTGCGGCACAATGATAATCCTCCTCAAAAAGTTAAAGGTAAAGCTACTGAAGATTTGGTAGACCGTCAGCTGCCAGAACTTCTATTCCACATGGAGGAGCTAAGAGCATTAGTGCGCAAATACAGCCAGGTCATGCAAAGGTACTATGTACAGTATCTCTCTGGTTTTGATGCAGTAGCTCTTAATCTGATGATGCAAAATTTACCAGTCTGCCCAGAAGATGAGAGTGTTATTCTTTCATCCCTCTGTGACACTGCAGCATCTCTAAGTGTGAAGCAAGTTGAAGACAATGAACTTTTTGATTTCCGTGCATTCCGTCTTGACTGGTTTAGATTACAAGCATACACATCAGTTGCTAAAACTCCATTCAATCTTGTGGACCAACGAGAATTAGCACAATTTATTGATAAAATGGTTTTTCATACCAAGATGGTTGACAATTTAGATGAGATTATGGTTGAGACTTCAGATTTGTCTCTGTTTTGTTTTTACAGTAAGATATTTGAAAGTCAGTTTCATATGTGTTTAGAGTTTCCGGCTCAAAATCGATATATTATTGCTTTCCCACTGATTTGCAGTCACTTTCAAAACTGCACTCATGAATTATGCCCTGAGGAAAGGCATCACATCAGAGAGAGGAGTCTTTCTGTAGTCAACATTTTCTTAGATGAAATGGCAAAAGAAGCCAAGAACATAATTACAACAATCTGTGATGAACAATGCACAATGAGTGACAAGTTGCTTCCAAAACATTGCGCACAAACTATTGCCCAGTTGGCAAATAGGAAGAAGAAGGATAAAAACAAAAAGAATCCAATCGAAATAGTGAAACCTGGAGCAGAAAGTTACAGGAAGACCAGAGAAGAATTGACCACAATGGACAAACTGCACATGGCTCTCACTGAGCTATGCTTTGCTATAAATTACTGTTCAAAAGTAAATGTTTGGGAGTACACATTTGCTCCGCGAGAGTATTTACATCAACATTTGGAGACCAGATTCTCCAAGGCTCTTGTAGGAATGGTTATGTTTAATCAAGATACAAGTGAAATAGCGAAGCCATCAGAGTTGCTAGTGAGTGTAAGGGCATATATGAATGTGCTACAAACTGTGGAAAATTATGTACACATTGATATTACGAGAGTTTTTAATAATTGCCTTCTACAGCAAACACAGAATATGGACAGCCATGGAGAAAAGACTATAGCATCATTGTACACTCAGTGGTATTCTGAAATTTTACTTAGAAGAGTGAGTGCTGGCAGCATTTGTTTCTCTATGAATCAGAAAGCATTTGTAAGCCTGTCAGCTGAAGGTGCCATACCTTTCAATGCTGAAGAGTATTCAGATATCAATGAGCTAAGATCTTTAGCTGAACTTATTGGACCTTATGGTATGAAGTTGTTAAGTGAAACACTAATGTGGCACATTGCGAGTCAAGTGCAAGAGTTAAAGAAATTGGTCGTACAAAATAAAGAAGTTCTCCAAATGCTTAGAACAAATTTTGATAAACCGGAAATAATGAGGGAACAATTTAAGAGGCTGCAACATGTGGACAATGTGTTACAAAGGATGACGATTATTGGTGTTATTTTGAGCTTCCGTCAAATTGCACAGGAGTCATTACTCGACGTCCTGGAGCGTCGAATACCGTTCTTGATAAGTTCGATTAAAGATTTCCAGCAGCAGTTGCCGAGCGGTGACCCTAGAGTTATATCAGAAATGTGTTCCGCGGCAGGCCTGCCCTGTAAGGTGGACCCTACTCTGGCTTCAGCGCTTAGGCAGCACAAAGCGGAACTAGAGGATGAGGAGCATTTGATAGTTTGTTTGCTGATGGTGTTTGTTGCAGTATCGCTTCCGAGACTCGCTCGAAGCGAAGGTTCCTTTTACAGGCCTTCATTGGAAGGCCACGCGAATAATATTCATTGTATGGCACCAGCTATAAACCATATTTTCGGCGCGTTATTCACAATTTGCGGTCAAGGCGACATAGAAGATAGAATGAAGGAGTTCTTAGCGCTGGCGTCCTCGTCCTTACTCCGCCTCGGACAGGAGACTGAGAAAGAAGCAATAAGGAACCGGGAGTCAGTGTATTTGTTGTTGGATCTGATTGTACAAGAATCGCCATTCCTCACAATGGATTTACTCGAATCCTGTTTCCCGTATGTGTTGATACGTAATGCTTATCATGAAGTTTACAAGCAAGAGCAAATGCTACTACATTCATAATTTATAATGTCGACTAACGAAAGACAGTTATAGGAATTTAGATAAAGTATAATGTACTCTTAGTATCGATGATTTTCCATAATTATTAATTCCAATAGATGTAGGGATGACAATGAGTTTATCAAATCGATTGTTTGAAAGTAGCAACTGGATGTAAGATTCCATAGAAAAAAACATTAGATTTAATGAGACTGTTTAAAAATTCCGTACTCGACATTTTATTCTTATCAAGGCTATTTAATTCCGATCATTGTATTGTTATAGAATTAGACCCCAAGTATTAATATAATGTAACCTACACTAGACTTCGAACATAGTTTATACACTGCATTTTGTTTTATAGGTTTTAGATTTACAATTTATTTTAAGAATTACGTATTAACATTAGTAAGGCTATTCGATATTTCATATTAATTAGAGCGTAGACAAATGGATTAGTTATTAAATTAGAATTCACGGTATCAGATTTCTAATGCAATTTAAGGTTTGTTAAGTTTTATGCAAGTAAACTGGCAATATAAACAGCATACGTCATTATTAATCAAATCTTCTCTTCCTTAGTGTTTTTTATTTTATTTTATATTCATTCTTGCTAGAAGTCTTTTAGGACTTGAAAGTGTTTTTGTTACTTTTTGTATATTTTTATTTATAGGTCACCCAAATATTGTACCTTTATCTATATTAAATATTACGTAATATAAGATTGTTTTATTCATCATCCATAAAATTATCGCGTTAAATCCGGTGAGATCATCCGAAAGAAAACTTTATGAAGCATTTAGGCTTATCAATGTTATGCTCATCGTCATTATAACAAGAGTTACTGATTTTGATTGTACTGAGTGGGGATCTTTTCTGTAGGGATCATAACATATAGAAATTAATCATTTTTGTATTTATGGATGTATTGATTGAGCTATTGATTATTGACCACTAAAACAGCGACAGAAATAAATAAAATCCAAGATATCATGTAAAATTTATTGTATTTTTTTGTTATTTTGAAATCACATGTTGTAACATTCATCTTGTTAATTAAAAATATTCACATAGTCAATTAAATAATCTATAACGGTAGTCTAGCTTACGATTAGGAGAAATAATGCCATTGAGTACTACTTGATGGACAAAATACAAGCCATCGTTACGTTTGGTCGAATCACGCCACGTGGGAAACATCACCTCGCACTTACATACAAATATACAACGTTTATACACTTACTGAACATTGCGTGTGTCGTCCACATTCACTAATTAAATGGCAATATTGGTATACTAATAAGACTGTACCTTAATATTAATGTATAGAAAAAATCAAAAAAATACATCATGCTCTTTGGCTTGCACGACGGAGTTATTCTACGCACGACCTGTTTATTCTAATATTAGATTTTGTCAACTAAACAACAATTTTCTAAGTAGATTTTTCGTACGTATATTTTGTGACTTAAACTTACACAAGGAAAAGTCACAAACAAAACATTTTGACAATAAAAATGAATTGCAACAACAAATTAAAACAGTTTGTTTTACGTACATATCTATTTATTGCCAAACAAGCACCTTTTTTGCCAACAAAAAATCTGATGTTAGAATGAACAGGTTTCTAATAAATCGTTTGAAATAAAAATACTATCTACTAGAGATCAATTGAACTGAAATGTACAACGGTTTTCTTTAATTAGTAATTACTTCGGACATAATAAAGTAAATCGAATGTGATATGCAATTTTGTATGCACCGAAATTAAATTTTTATAATAATTTGAGCCACCGCTACGCTTAACGCGCTAATAGAGAGGACATACATCAAAAAGGATTAAAACAAAATATCGCAAGTAACGCAAAAGTTAAGATTATAACCTAAAACATGAAAAACTAATTTTAAAACAACATAGAAACTTAACCGTTTAGAAATAAATCATGAAAAATTTGAAACACTTTATGAGTTTGAGGGAAGTTAAAGTTAAAAATATAAAATAATAATCATAAATTGAAAATTCAGCCAATATTCGTTTTGATGTGTCCTCTCTTAAACAAAAATGCAAACATCTCGTATTGAGATAGAAAGTTTCTCAGTCTAATAACAATTTGATCATTTGGCAATACTGTTCAATTTCTACATTACACCTACAAATTAAATTAAAACGAGTACAAATTTTAATTATTTTGCCATAGGAAGACTAATCCGCCAATCATCTATGGGAGAAACATTTTGAGTCCTTCATCAATTATAATTACAATTATCCTAATATTACGGTCAAATAATACGTTTTAATAAAAAATATTAAGACGTGAAAGTCTCAAAGTTATTCCTTCCCTGGCAGTGAGTTATGTTGAGTTAATTTGCTATAGGAATGATAGAATCAATCGTTACAAAGGACACACAAGTTTTCATGGCACCACAACTCTCCGCTTACATATACATTAAATATAATAAAAATAACTTTATATAAAAATTACACTTAGAGATTCAAATCGAACTTTTCCCTTACTGAATACTCGACTGATATTTTTACAAGCCTTTGTATAACATTCATTTATATACAAAAATATACATAAATGTTGTGTATGTCAGTTACCGGATCGAGAATGCAACATTATTACGGTTTTATAAAAATAATACTTAATTTTTGTTGAGAATGATTTGAGCTCAGCGAATAATTAAAAAGAAACCTGAAGTGGGTAAGAAATGACAGGTAAATTCGTCTGTTCCCACATTCCTGACAGCTTGCGGAATGACGTGACAGGCTGTCAGTCTGTCACCAAGTTGGTTTAATCGACGATACTTTTGAGTCATAATTCGATAGTTTTTACATATATAATCGTGTTTAAAATGCTTTACAGTATATAATTTAACATTATTAAGATAAATTACGCAAGACTACTGATTTTTATTTAATTTTCAAACAAACAACAAAGTTATACATATTGTAAAAATGGCATAATTTTGAGTTATTTACTTATTTATAGTGACAACTTCTAAATATAGTCAATTAAACCAAACTTGTATATTTTTAATTTTTCTTGAGCAAAACTTATATAATATTAAACATCGGAGTTTATCCGAAACTAAAGAGAACACTTATTGCAATTATATATTACTTGTGATATTTCAGGTCCATTTGTAATATTCACGTATATACGTTGTTACATTTTGCATTAAAAGTCTACAGTCGGCAATTGCCGGCGACGAATACAAACGCTTTGCATTGAGATATGAAGTTTATATTAATTTTCCACTGGTAAAAAAACTTGTATTAAAACAAATATCCCTGTTTTTTAAGATATTAAGAATCTTGTTATATACAAGTGTTTTGACAGTGGAAACGCATAAGTAAGTTACACTGATACATTTTAGCACGAATTAATCACGTTACAAACGAAACGTTAATATCAAAAAAAGAAAATAGAAAAAAAAAGGAAAAGAAAAAAGTATTTTTACAAGTTAAAATAGAGCAATTGTTCCTTAGTTATAAGCGTCATAAAATATTTTTTTCTTAAAAATATATTTTAGATAATATTTCATCTTACATTATCATGCTAAAATGAACAGATTAAAAAAATACTACACGATAACTACGAATGATCTACGTATTAAATTAAAATCGCGTGTTGCGTCAGTCATTTATTGTTTGTAGTATTTATTTGTATTTTACGAATTTTTTACAACCACATAAATCTGCTTAATTCTTGAAGGAGAGTTGTAATTACATTTGCAATATTTAAATGCACATCGACTGACTAGATACTAAACTGACACAACACAAATTAAAACCAAAGAGATTCAAAAAATATATAGAAGAAGCATAGTTAGCACTTCACTTGAAACATTTTCCACATCTTAGTAGCACTGCCTGGTGTTTTATAGTCAAACAACAAATAAATAATTCAAACACTAAGAAACTTAGGAAGTGTCAAATTTGACATAGATATTACCGTCCAAAGTTACCGGTGAAAAAACGTTCAATGTCTAGTCTATATATTTCTTAAATGTCTTTGAATAAAACGTAAATCCAGGCGTATTCGTCGCCGGGCAGAGGGTAGTTTCATTTATCAGTTTG